TCTCTCTCTCTCACACACACACACACACACACACAAACACACACACACACACACACACACACATTAATACATACATACACATACAGAAATGGAGAGGGAGAGAGAGAGGGGCGGGGGAGAGGGGGAAAAGAAAGAGAGGGTAGGAGGGGGATATCATTTACTCACAAGTACAACATGAATAAAACAATTTGTATATAATCTCGTCAAAAAACGCTTTTCGTAAGCAAAAAAGAGTTGTTTTTTTTGTTCATAAAAAAAATTGCAGTGACATAGATATATGCTTTGTAAGTGCTCATGCTGCACATATTGAAGTTTTAAAGTTTTGTGACCTTGAGACTGTGTGAAACCATAAGGAAAGAAACATCTGAATATTTGCTATACTCTTTGGTTCTTGAAAAGAGAAAACAAAAGCTGGAAATTTCTTTTTGGTTGACAACGCACTGTTTCCCGACCCGTATAAAGAAAAAATCGTAGAATTGAGTGACATTTAAACAGCATGTGATTCGTTACAATGGGCTTGAGAATGACATCGTAAAATGAATGATGCCGAAGAAAACGTAGAAATGCTAAACAGTTCATGCTGCTTAACTTGTTTTCCACTTCAGGACCAGTTTTTTTTTAAAGACAAAAACAAAACATAACGAAAAGCATTCGCACTCTATCGTGTTCTGACATTTAAAAAAACTTGATCTCGTACTTTTCAAAATCAAGTTTTGCTAATAGAAATACGTACGCAAATAATTTTTCATCTTGAAGTAATAATGATGGAATAATGCGTAGGTTGAACATTTGAAAAGCGTAATTGAGACCAAAGTTTGGGGACGTCATGCAAACCATTTAGGCCTATGAGTTAGACAAATGAAACTAAAATTAATTCCTAAAAAGCAACAAATAACGCACAGTGACTATAACGAAAGCAGCAAGCACTAATGTCTTTCTCTACACGGAAACCACAGAGCACCGACACCACATAGAAAAAAAGCAACCGCAGTCCCGCAACAAAATTAATTTGCGACAAATATAGTTACTCATAGTAGTTTCAAGCGTGTTGTAGAGTTTTGATGTGACTAATAGATGTTTAAATACAAAGAACTGTGTACCAATACTGAGTGTCTATTTAATCTTAGTGTTTCGGACGATTGCAACAGAGGTAAGTCCTTTAGACACTTAGAATAACAGGGGTTCTCACCCCATGACGCATTGCTTTGAGGAAAGGGATTCAAAGAATCACACTCTTTTATAGTTAAAATATCATTACGCCTTATTTATTTGTTAAGTGCCAAATTGAACAAATACAGATCAAATTGTTTGAGTCTTCGACATAGTGAGCAGGGCATCTTTGTCAGTTGTCTGTAGTGTCCAACTCAGTTCTTGTAAAATGTGGAGTAAGAGCGAAAACGAATGATCACTGATTGATCAGGCATCTCAAGGGGTGCGAGTGGTAAAGCATGCTAAAGAAGACACATTCTCCGCATGCAACCTGCACAGGTATTCTGGTTTGAAGGTTGTGCGGGGGTAGATGGTATCAAAGGCGAAAAAAAGGAGGATAATGTATCTATCCTACAAACAAATACACAAGTAAGGATAAACAAATTGGCCGAAATGTCACTACCTCGGGGTAATAAGAAGGGAGGGGGAGAAAAAAAGGAGAGAGAGAGAGAAAGAGAGAGAGGGGGCGAGAGAGAGAGAGAGAGAGAGAGAGAGAGAGAATGAGCGAGAAACAAACACAGAGGGAGAGAAAGATGGAGAGAGAAAGAGAGAGAGAGAGAGAGAAAGCAAGAGGGGGAATTCGACCCTTGGTAACATTTCCAACAACAGAGCACCGTGCAGCACACACACCCCCAAAAACATACGAACAAAACAAATAAATAAACAACAAAAACCAGAAGACGCTGTTCTGTTCGCAATGTGACATGCTTCTTGTACTCTTAAAACAGAGTAAACGTTGACGTCATCATAGCAGGTAGACAAGCGCTTACTGTGCGTGCAATGTGATTACTTCTGACGTAGCAAAAGGTCAAAGGTAGACCTACATCACAGGCTGATATTTGGGCACCCCAACTAGGAAGTATTAATTTCCATCGTTTCCCGTCTTTTAAAACATTTCAGAATAATCGAGCAGCACACAAAAGATATTTTATCCGAAAACTTTACTACAAGCTACTTCTGAGGCCGATTTAAGTGGGTGGACGAGATGCGGAAGTGAGGGAAGAAGGGGTTTGGCGTAAGTTGACAAATCAGAGCTAGACTACGCTCCTAAATTTGAAATGGTGTGGGTTTAACGCTCCTAAAAACGCTATTAGATTATTTAAGAGGGGAAACTTCCGAGTTTAATGTTCACCTCTGAAAGACCAAACCAAATGGGAAATTTGTGTAAAGTACATTGGACCGAGCTCAGGCTCGAACCCCCGAACCCCCAATCTCACGATTACTTGTCCGATTGCCTAACCACAAGCATGCACGCACCTAGAAGGAGCAACCTTTTTACAGTGTTGAAATAATAACCAAGATCATAGGTACATTATAATTTGGGCATCTATCTGTGATAACATTCATTTTGACGTATCATCTCTTATTGAGTTGTTCTTTTATTTCCCTTATCTTCTCGCCGAACCAAGTGCTTGGTGTTTAGAGATAATTTTAACGTATTTGCAAAGAACGAAATAACATTGCAAAATAAATCAAAGAGGAATACGATGAATTCCTAATTGCAATGGATAATCTTCCTGACACCATAATAGATTAATATGAAACATTTTGTTTGACACGATTACGTATGTCAAAAATGGGGCAGATTTGACATGCTGGCCGATGTGAAATTTTCTAAATCCTCTAAAACATGCACAAGAACGGCTGTAAATGAAAGGGGTGTACTATGAGTGCTCTATGCAACGCACAGGGGAATACGTGATTGGGTTAGCCAAAAGAAAGGGGGGGGGGGGGGGGGGGGGTAGAAAAGCCACATCCCATAAAACACAAAAAGCGAGCGAAAGATGCTGAGTAGAATAGACCATTAGGTCACCTGGCTTGTTGAAATAACCTGGGGAGTAAGAAAAATCGTGTTACTTCGGGGGTTTTTTGTGTTTGGTTGGTTGGCTCTTTTGCGAAGCAGTGTTCCTTCCTCCGGGGACTGGAAGAGATCATATTATCGGAAGACTCCTGTCCCAGAGTTCTCCTATCCCCTAAGAGAGCACCCTTAGGGAATGACGGGATAAATTCGTTCCACAATTCCATTCCCTGTTTTTATTATTTGCATTAACATTAGCGCCATCTTGCTTTCGGGCTGCAAAAACAAACCCACCGCTGCATCATGTCATTTGAGGCTGCACATTAAGAAGAAACGACACAAAAAGGGGCGAAATGTGTAAATAAATATGTGTAGGGATCATGACAGGCAAGCAAATAAATACGCCTTCAAGCAATGTTAAATACCTATGTTAAGAGCTGAGGGGGAAGGAGAGAGAGAGAGAGAGAGAGAGAGAGAGAGAGAGAGAAGGGGGGGAGGGGGGGAGATAGAGACAGAGACAGACAGACAGACAGACAGAGACAGAGTAAAGATTCACTAGCAACAACAATATTTACTGCCACTGTTTATTATAGTTTATACGTGGGATTTCCTTTGGAAAGATTGGGTAGGGTAAATATAGGCCAAAGGTATAATAAAAATGTAATAGTTTCGAGTTGATACACATACATCTCTAGCTAAAGCCACATAAAATTGATAATCTCCTCTCTTCATAAGAAAGTTATGTTGAGCTCTTTTAGTCTCAGACCTGTTTTCCTGAGATCGTAATCCCATTCGGTTCGCCAAGTAATGTGCTGTGATTATCAACACTTTTTTTTTCTCACCATTTTTCCGATATAGTACTTCAAAACAGATGTTGTAGCAAACTGGTGAAAATCAGATTCGAGTATATCCCGGTTTTCCTGGTATTTTCTGAGAGTGATAAAGTTAAAGTCCCTCGCATTTGAAAATACCAAGATTACGTTGAGTTAGGAGCTCAAACTCACCTTTGGAAAGAAGTGTTTCCAGATGAATTGTATTACTAAAACTTATATTTCCACTTTTTAAATACACATAGAAAAACTTGAGAAACAAAACAAAACGACTAAACCATCAGGCCCTCGACAAGTTAATAATAATAATAATAAATAGCATTTGTATAGCGCATATCCCCGCTCAACAGCAGGCTATATGCGCTTTACACTATATTATTACCCCAGCAGATCATAAAATACTCAGAAATATGCTCAGCTTCCCGGGCAGCATACAGTGCAAGCAGCTGCTTAAACGCTCAAACACTAACAAACTGACAAGATCTTTCACTGTCTATAGCCAGGTACCCATTCCCACCTGGGTGAAGTGAGGAAAATTCGTGTAAAGTGCCTTTCCCAAGGACACAACGTCGGGCCCCTGACGGGATTCGAACCCACGACCTTACGGTTGCGAGTCGGAGAGCCTAACCGTTGTAACGATTGTAATAGTTATTAAGCGCATAGAGCAAGATGTAAAGCATGGATATGCGATAAGTAATAAGGAACAATAATCAGTCTAGCACAGCACAGAGCATCCTTTCTTCATTTTGGCGAATTATCTGTTTGAAGTAACAACGAATGATGACAATTATACAAAACAACAACACACATCCTTCAATGAAGCCAACCCTTTTCTAAGAACAGCGGAATACTAATGAAATTGGTATGTTTCAGTTTAGGCTAACAAAAAAGCATTATCACGATAACGACATTTTATTCTAATTAAGAGCAAAGGCGAAAAAGATTTAGAAGAACAAGTAAAGGTTCTGAAATGCTATGAATGGTCAGTCCTTCTATATGGCTGTGAATGCTGGACAGTCACAAAACGAAGTGAAAATAAAATAGAAGAGAAAAAATGTGGTATCTCAAGAGACTGATGAGAGTATCTTGGAAGGAAAAGAAATCAACCCATGTGGACGCTCACTAATAAAAACAGTCAGGAAAAGACAAATGCAGTTTTTGGGACACCTAAATAGACATAACGGTCTTGAAATAGAGCTCTCAGTGGCAAAACTGACGGCAAACGAGGCAGGGGTAGGCCCAGATCAACCTACTTAGGGAAAATAAACATATTGGGTAACGGAAAAAGATCAGGGTAGCGTAGCTTTTTCAGGAGCATCCGGGCAAAAAAATGACTGGAGAACCGATGTCTGTCGTAATTTGGCACTTGATGATGATGAATAAGTGAAATGACAATATCTTCTTCTCTTTTCAGTTCGCTAGGCATCTAGCATCAAACTAGCTTGTGCATTAATCGACCCGAGATGATAAAAACAAGAATATCGGGCCCAGAAAGGATCTAAACCTCAGACTTTCACGTGGCAGATCAAGCTTGTTTGTACCTCAAACTTTGCATAGGTTATCGCTTTTGAAGATAGGGGTGTGGAATGAAAGTTATCATTGCTCCTCTGTTATAGCAAAGGGATTCATTACAGATCTTTGGATTACGATATATAAAAACACCCTCGACTCCCCAAACCATTCCCCGTAAAATAACAAATAAATAAATAAATAAGTAAATAAATAAATAAATAAATGCATTTAAAAAACATTCCCCCATTAAATAAATAAATAAATAAATAAATAAATACATTTAAAAACCTTCCCCCATTAAATAAATAAATAGAAGCAAGTGGTTGTTGAGTACCTGGAACCAGGTCACCAAATCCTATGGTGGTGAGAGTGATGACAGAGTAGTAGATGGACTCCATGTAGCTCCAGTCTTGTGTGAGGGTAAACACCAAGGACGGGATGAACACCAGGACACTGATGCCTGAGAGGTGAAAAATAGTGAAATTGTATGGGATTTTGTTTAGTTTCAGTTTTAGTAGAGTTTTTAGGACGCTCGTAAATCTATTTCAACCTTAACAAGGCATCGTACAAAGTCTGGGCAAAAAAAGAATATGAATGCTAATAGTTTGGGGGGGGGTGTTGTTGTTTTTTGTTTAAGTAGAAGTTTTACGGCGCTCGCAACTGCATAATGTCATATAAGTGCCAAGGGAGGGATGTCAACAGAGAAGTCCATTCAGGGAATCAGGCTTACTCTGCTCACCTCTCTAGCCTCAACAGCACAAAGTCTACTTCAACTATTAAGGCACCCCGGAAACAGCGGGTCACAAGAGTGTGACAAACATACAAAAGAAGAAGAGGAAAATGACGATAATAAGGATAAGGAAAGAAAAAGCAGCAGGTCCACGTTGCAGTTCAGGCACAGTTATGAGCATGACATTGATGAATCAGCCCATTTACAATTCTACTGAGCATAAGGATATGTCAACATCCCGCCTTTGGAAATGACCTAAAGACACTTCAGTCAGTAGCACCGCCACGATGGGGTAGGTATGGGTTTAATGCTCCTATAAACACTTATGGCGAATAATATACGAATGCGACAGGCAAAATTCACTGAACACACAATGCGGAAAGAAGCATTGGAGAATATTGTAACAACATGCAAGTTTAATGGAAAGAGAGGCAAAGGCAGACAGAGGGAAAAGATACTGGACAATTTGACAACATGGCTGGGAACAGCAAGAACGACAGACACCATAGCTGCAACGCAAGACAGAATGAAGGGGAGGATCCATGATCGCCAATGCCAGTCGGCAAGGCACCGGATGATGATGATCAACATTATTAGGTTATTTCAGAGGCGGGACCTTCGAGTTTAACGTCCATCTCCGAAAGAACCGAGCCAAATGGGAAATTTTTGCAAAGTGCCTTTCTCAAGGACACAAGGTCGGACCGAGCTCACACTCGAACATATCTGACAATTTTTATGTTTATTTTTTTTATTAAAAAAAATAAATTTGGGGTCAAATCAAATCAAAGAAAAACATCTATAAATTCCTCATACAGCTGTAGTTATATTGCGTCTTTCCTCAAAGATTTTCCTGAAACATAGATTTCATTCTGTTTGCCAAGTTATACGTGATGGATAATTATCAGCACTTTGTCTTTTTCTGCATTGTTTTCGACATGGTTCTACACAACAGTTACAGGGGGCTCTCGTGGCATAGAGGTTAAGGTGTTCGCCTCTCTTTCAAAGATCCCGGGTTCAATCCGGGTAGCGACCCAAATATTTTCTTCTCTAAAACTGTCTCCTTTCACCTCCTTTCATGCTCTCTAGCAATATTCTGTCGTCTGCTTTCGTCTCCACTTTCTGCACCCACCCCCTCACCTTTTATGCCCCCTCCTCTGGGCTCGTGACTCTTTCTGCAGCCTTTCCACTGCTTATCCTTGGCTTCTTCTTACTGTTGTCTTTCAGCCACACCCCTGATCTTATGGTTGGAAAGATCCACACCTAGCCTACTCGGACAAGGGCGAAAAATCTCGGAGGCTCCGTGTGCAAGTTGCGCAAGTTAAAGATCCCTTGGTGATCTAAAATCGATAGGAGTAGGCTTTGGCCGCCACCCGGGCAAAAATTCAAAATCTCCTACCAACTGAAAATGTTAGGTGTGTCCCGCGCGTTCATATGACCTCGTAAAACGCAAAAGACAAAATGCCGTGACTGCCGGGT